CTATGGGATCCTATGGGGTCAGGGGGTCCCTATGGGGTCCCTATGGGATCCTATGGGGTCATGGAGTCCCTATGGGATCGTATGGGGTCATGGAGTTCATAAGGGGTCCCTATGGGATCCTATGGGGTCATGGAGTCCCTATGGGATCCTATGGGGTCATGGAGTTCATATGGGGTCCCTATGGGATCCTATGGGGTCAGGGGGTCCATATGGGTTCCTATGGGGTCAGTAGGTCTCTATGGGTTCCTATGGGGTCATGGAATCCCTATGGGGTCCCTATGGGGTCAGGGGGTCCCTATGGGGTTTTATGGGGTCATGGAGTCCTTATGGGGTTCCCATAAGGTCATGGAATCCCTATGCGATCCTATGGAGTCAGAGAGTCCCTATGAGATTCTATGGGGTCAGGGAGTCCCTATGGGGTTCTATGGGGTCATGGAGTCCTTATGGGGTCCCTATGGGGTCAGGGGGTCCCTATGGGGTTCTATGGAGTCATGGAGTCCCTATGGGTTCCTATGGGGTCCCTATGGGATCCTATGGGGTCCCTATGGAGTCCCTATGGGATCCTATGGGGTCATGGAGTTCCTATGGGGTCCCTATGGGATCCTATGGGGTACCTATGGGGGTCCCTATGGGTTCCTACGGGGTCATGGAGTTCCTATGGGGTCCCTATGGGATCCTATGGGGTCAGGGAGTCCCTATGGGATCCCTATGGGTTCCTATGGGGTCATGGAGTCCCTATGGGGTCCCTATGGGATCCTATGGGGTCAGGGGGTCCCTACGGGGCCCTTTGGGGTCAGGGGGTCCCTATGGGATTCTATGGGGTCATGGAGTTCATATGGGGTCCCTATAGCATCCTATGGGGTCAGGGGGTCCCTATGGGGTCCTTATGGGGTCAGGAAATCCCTGTGGCATCCTATGGGTTCAGGGGGTCTCTATGGGTCCCTATGGGGTCAGGGGGTCTGTATGGGATTCTATGGGGTCATAGAGTCTGTATGGGGTTCCTATGAGGTCAGGAAGTCTCTATAGGTTCCTATAGGATCATGGAGGCCATATGGGATCCTATGGGGTCAGGGAGTTTCTATGGGTTCCTATGGGGTCAGGGGATCCCTATAGGGTCACAGTGATCTCTATGGGATCCTATGGGGCCAGGGGGTCCCTATGGGGTCTCTATGGTGTTAGGGGATCTCTCTGGGATTCTATGGGGTCAGGGGGTCCCTGTGGTTTCCTATGGGGTCAGGGGATCCCTATGGGGTCACTGCGATCTCTATGGGGTCCCTATGGGATCAGGGGGTCCCTATGGTGTCTCTCTGATCTCTATGGGGTCCTATGGTGTCAGGGGGTCCCTATGGGATCCTATGGGGTCATAGAGTCCCTATGGGGTCCCTATGGGGTCAGGGAATCCCTTTTGAGTCCATATGGGGCAAGGGGGTCCCTATGGGATCCTATGGGGTCACTGTGGTCTCTGTGGGTCCCTATGGGGTCATCGAGTCCCTATGGGGTCCTATGGGGTCAGGGAGTCCCTAAGGGTTCCTATGGGGTCAGGGGGTCCCAATGGGGCCCTTTGGGGTCAGGGGGTCCCTATGCGATTCTATGGGGTCAGGGGTTCCCTATGGGGTTCCTATGGGGTCAGGGAGTCCCTATGGGGTCCCACAGGGGTCCCTATGGCATCCTATGGCGTCAGGGGTTCTCTATGGGGTCCTTATGGGGTCAGGGGATCACCGTGGGGTCCTTATGGGGTCATCGAGTCCCTATGGGATTCTATGGGGTCAGGGGGTCCCTATGGGGTCCCTATGGGATCCTATGGGGTCATGGAGTCCCTATGGGGTCCCTATGGGGTCCTATGGGGTCAGGGGGTCCCTATGGGGCCCTTTGGGGTCAGGGGCTCCCTATGCGATTCTGTGGGGTCAGGGGATCGCTATGGGATCCTATGGGGTCAGGGGGTCCCTATGGGATTCTATGGGGTCATGGAGTCCTTATGGGATCCTATGGTGTCAGGGGGTCTCTATGGGGTACCTATGGGGTCAGGGAGTCCCTTTTGGGTCCATATGGGGCCAGGGGGTCCATATGGGATTCTATGGGGTCATGGAGTCCCTATGGGGTCCCTATGGGGTCAGAGAAGTCCTATGGGTTTCTATAGGGTCAGGGGATCCGTATGGAATCCTATGGTGTCAGGGGGTCCCTATGGTGTCCTTATGGGGTCAGGGGGTCCCTATGGGATTCTATGGGGTCTGGGGGTCCCTACTGGATACTATGGGGTTTGGGGATCCCTATGGGGTCACTCTGGTCTCTATGGGGTCCTATGGTGCCAGGGGATCCCTACGGGATCCTATGGGGTCAGGGGGTCCCTATGGGGTCCCTATGGGGTCAGGGGGTCCCTATGGGGTCACTGCGATCTCTATTGGGTCCTTATGGGGTCAGGGGTTTCCTATGGGGTCCCTATGGGGTCAGGGGGTCCTTATGGGGTCCCGGCGACTCTTAAAGGGCCAGCGCTCACCTCGACGTGTGACAGCAGGCCGGAGAAGGAGACGTCCATCCCCTTCACCACGTAGGGCAGCTCCAGCAGCCGCTTCCCCCTGCGGCAACACGGGACAACATGCGACAACATACAATGAACACGCGTGACAGGCGGACAGAACACGCAAGAAGCACGCAAGAAACACGCAGGAACACGTCAGAAACGGCAGCACGTCACGACATGGCGACTATACATGTGATGACACGCGATGACACGCGTGACCACATGCCATGGGGGGAGGGAGAACACGTGAAAACACGTGGAAAAGGCTTGAGAACACGCGAGAGGGCGTCGGGGAACACAATATATCGTGACACGTGACAACACGGCGCCACACACGCGTGGCAACACGCAGCAACACGCATGGCCGCGTGGAGGAAGAGGCTGCAGAACACGCGAAAGCACATGAAAACATGTGAAAACGCGTGAAAACATGTGAAAACACACAAGCAATATGCAACAACACGCAAGAACACGCCATAAAACACGGGATCTTGTTACATGTGCCAACATAGGACAACATGCAGCCACACACGTGACAACATATGGCAACATGCGTGATGCCATGCAACAAGAAGCAGGAGAATGGGTAAAAACACATAGCCAACATGTGAAAACACGTAAGAACATGTCAGAAACCAAAACATGTTTGCGACATGGGTGGTGACATATGATAACATGCGTGGTTGGATGTGACAGGAAGCACGAGAACACGTGAGAACATGTGAGCAACATGCAAGAACACGCAAAGACGCGTCAGGAAAGCCAATGTGTGACCAGATGCGCTGACACGCAACCCCACACGTGACGACATACATGACAACATGTGATAACACGCGATAACACGTGAAAAAGTGATGAGAGCACGTGAAGACGCATGGGGAAACACAGCAAACACGCAAGGACACGCCAGGAAGGACCAACACGTGACCCCACACGCGTGTAACACGTGAGCACACGCTTCAACACGCGTGACCCCGCTTCGCCCCGAACCTTTTGGCCATCTGCTCCACGTTGTAACCGGGGCTGGGATCATTGGAGATCTGCAGGCGACAACACGCGTGTGAGGGGGGAAGGCGACACGCTTACATGCGTGTTGTGGGGGATTTGGGGGGGGTGTAACACGCGTGTGACACGCGTGTGCTGCCGTGACCTTGAGGAGCCGAGCCACGCGATCCAAGCAGTTCCCCACCGCCACGTCCAGCGTTTCACCAAAGATCCGGTAACGGCGGCGAGAGAACGCGATCACCTGCGGGGAACACGTGTGTGCTCGCATGTTAGAGGCGTGTGCTCATGTTATAGGCGTGTGGTTGCATGTTATACACTTGTGGTCGCATGTTAGAGGCGTGTGGTCGCATTTATAGGTGTGTGGTTGCATGTTATAGGCATGCGGTCGCGTGTTAGAAATGTGTGGTCACATGTTAGAGGCATGTGGTTGCATGTTAGAGGCGTGTGGTCGCATGTAACACGTGTGTGCTCACATGTTAGAGGTGTGTGGTCGCGTGTTAGCGGCGTGTGCTGGCATGTTACAAGCTATGGTTGCATGTTACAGGCGTGTGGTTGCATGTTAGAGGCGTGCAGTCGCATGTTAGAGGTGTGTGGTCGTGTGTTAGAGGTGTGTGGCCACGTATTATAGGCGTGTGGTCACACGTTATAGCTGTGGGGTCGCATGTTAGAGGCGTGTGCTCATGTTAGAGGCTTGTGGTCGCATGTTAGAGGCACCTGGTTGCATGTTACATGCATGTACTTGCATGTTACAGCCATCTAGTGGCATGTTATAGCCGTGTGGTTGCATGTTAGAGGCGTGTGGTAGCATGTTAGAGGCGTGTGCCCACATTAGAAGCGTGAGTTTGTATGTTAGAGGCGTGTGGTTGCACATTATAGGTATGTTGTCGCATGTTGGAGGCGTGTGGTCGCATGTTAGAAACGTGTGGTCACATGTTAAAGGCGTGTGCTTGCATGTTAGAGGCATCTAGTGGCATGTTAGAGGCGTGTGGTCGCATGTCAGAGGCGTGTGCTCACATGTTACATGCGTGTGGTTGCACATTATAGGCATCTGGTTGCATGTTAGAGGCGTGTGGACCCAATTCGCACCCCCC